AGATCTGAACTAGACTTTCTTTATGTAAGAAAATTATGTACTTCATGTTTCTTGGACACTTCTTTGAAATAAATGACTGTCCTCAGACTTGCAGAGGACAGCACAAGTATCTGCCTGTGCTACTATTTTAAAGTACGAGGCTGTCATTTAGGTGTTAGCAAATGTAGACAGTACATCTAATAACATTGTCAGTGGGGTCAATAAGTCTAGTTTTAGGTAGGTTTATTTTGGACCAGTAGCGTCTCACCTGTGCTGCTCTATTAATTGTGAAAAGTCATGTAAATTATTTCTTTTTGGGAGAAGACAACATCATGTGCATTAAAGTCAGGGCTAGAAGAGCAAGTTCCTTGAGAATCATAAGCACTCAGGATAAAATACAGTGTCAGACTTGTTCACAGGCAGCAACCTTTTAACGAGTGAATGTATCTTAAGCAAATTTAAATTACAAGAGCATAATTGCTTAGGAGAGCCACCAGAGAACTATAAATATGAAGATTGGTTTTCCAAACTCTTGCTCACAGTGTCTTGGACTTGCAGCCAGAAGGCATTAAAAACTGGTAATGGTGTCCTCCCTCCTTATTACTTGGTGCTCATGAGACCAGTAATGTTGTCTGGGGGAGGCTCATCTGGGTGAGTGGACTGTTGCAACTCAGGTACTTAGGAGATGATCTACAGTGTCTGGGAAAAGTACAGAAGATTTCCATAAGAAAAATTTACCTCTGATTTCCTGGAGAGAATAGGAAGTCAGAGAAATGGCTGGGAAGCCACATTTGTGCAGAATGGGTCTTGCCCTGCTGTGGCTGTATGGTTGTGTTCAGAGTTGAGGTCAATGTCTCGCTGTTCAAGTGGAGAGCAGTGGCTAGTGACATTCCTCAGGGGTCAAGGTTGGGACCAGTGCTGTTTCACATCTTTGCTGGTGACATGGACAGTAGGATTGAGGCACCCTCTGCAGGTTCACTGACAACACCGAGCGGTGTGGTGTGGTCACACGCTGGAGGGCAGGGATGTGCTATCCAGAGGGACCTGGACAGGCTGGAGCGGTGGGACCATGTGAACCTCATCGAGTTCAACAAGGGCAAGGGCAAGGTTCTGAACATGGGTCAGGGCAATCCCAAGCACAAACACAGGCTGGGTGAGGAGTGCATTGAGAGCAGCCCCAAGGAGAAGGACTGGGGGTATGGGTGGGTGGAAAGCAGGTTGAGCGGGGTAATTCTCCCCCTCTACTACACTCTTGTGACACTTCCCCTGCACTGCTGTGTCTAGCTCTGGGGCCCCCAAAATAAGAAGGACATGGACCTGTTGGAATGGGGTCCAGAGGAGGCCATGAAGATGGTCAGGGGCTGGAGCACCTCCCCTGTGAAGACAGGCTGAGTTGGGATTGTTCAGCCCAGAGAAGAAAAGGCTCTGGGGAGACCTTAGAGCAGCCTTCCAGTGCTTAAAGGTGGCCTACAGGGAAGACAGAGAGGAACTCTTTATCAGGGACTGTAGTGATAGGACAAGGCGTAACAGTTTTAAACTGAACTGGGGTGGTTTTAGATTAGTAAGGAAGAAGCTCTTCCCTGTGAGGGTGGTGAGGCCCTGGCACAGGCTGCCCAGAGAAACTGTGGCTGCCCCCTCCCTGGAAGGGTTCAAGGCCAGGCTGGATGGGGCTTTGGGCAACCTGGCTAGTGGAAGGTGTCCCTGTCCATGGCAGGGGGCTTGGAACTAGATGATCTTTAAGGTCCCTTCCAACCCAAGCCATCCTGTTCTATACCCTGAATTGTGTGTGTTGGTCAAAAAACTGAAGACGTGTGGAATGGTGATAAAGGCTGAGTCGGTCAGGTTAGGGACCAGATCCTGTGGGAATATAGAAATACAAAGCAATTGGTGCTACTGTTCACATAATAAATTAGGAAATGGTAGTTCCTTATTCTCTGGCTTTCCTGGTGTGCCTATAACCACTTTGGGTTTTCTGTCAAACAAACAGTTCTTTGTCCTGTAGTCATGATTGTCTGATGGCAGGGGGTATTTGTGTAGCAATGTCTGGATTTCATTGATCCTCAGTCTTCGTTTCATACTAAACAAATCTTCTAGAAGTGGCCAAAACAGTTGCTTTAGAAGCTAGATTGACTAATTAATATTGCTAGGTTTGATTTTGTAGTAGGTTGCCTGTGTAGAAGATTGATGCTCCACCAAAAAGATAAGTGAACAAAATAAAATTAAAAAAAAGGAAAGTTGAATTAATTATGATCTGGCCTACGATTGGATTTTAAGTCTTACTCCATTTACATAAAGTGGTGTCTTGTTCATAGTTATTTATTAAAATGGGCACAGTATTTTTCAGGACGTTGTGGAAGAGATTTGAATAAAACAGGAAATTGCTACTTTTAAAAGCTTCCAATATTATAATATTACAGTGCTTACATATTTGAAGCTACCAAGAACATCATCTCCACCTCCGGTTTGAACTGGCCATTCAGATGTGCATGTCAAGTGTAGCAGATCTTTCTTCCTATCCCTCATCTTTTTCCAGTATCCCCAAGATTACAGGTTGCAACTATTTTCTGACATGGAAAGGGGGATATGAAACCCGAAAAGTGGCCCTGCTAACTAATTAGAAGCTGATTACAATAAATCTGCATACCTCTTCTGAAACTTGAGAGTCCAGCTCTTCACTTGCGGGTTTCCTAAAGCCTGTCTTCAGAAACTATTCTGACTTCTGTGGTCACTCACAGTCTGAGCCACTGCCTGGGGAGTGCTGCCTGCTCTGAGACCAGCCTTGGCTCCTCTGCCCAGTCCAAGTCTTGATACGAGGCTGTATTTCTGCTCTTTACTTTCTCTTGTGCTTTTAGAAGAGTTTTCCTGTGACAGGCTTGTTTTCTCCACAGGTGGGACTTAGTTGAGAGGAACAGTATTAGTACTTTATTATTTGAGGGTTCTTTAAAAGCAGCTTTTCTTTCCAACAGTGATGGAAGCTGTCCAGAGCTGCCAGGCCATGGGAATGCTTTGTGTTAGGATGTAAATGATAGATATGGTAACCTTAGGAACAGCATTAAACAGAGCAGTGCAAAGGGTTCCCATCTTAGTTGCTTCTTAAAGGCAGGTTTAATTTGAAGTTAAGTTTCTGTAACGTTTCTGCTACTTCAGCAGTGGAGCAGCTTAGTTTCAAAAGACACCTTTTGACTTTTATTAGTTTCTAGCAAAGACATAGACAGGTGTTTTAGAGACTTTTAGTGAGTGCAAATGTATTTTTCAAGAGTGGTGTGCAAAACTTGTAACATAACTCACACTTTTTAATACATAACTATATAAACCCTAAATACACTACAAAGCCAAACAGCCAGCAGCTTAAAGCAGGTTTGAGCTAAATATCCATCAGCTGGCACAGTTGCTAAACTTCAGTCAAATTCTTTGTCTTCCAAGAAATTTTCTTGGGACTCATGGCCCAGAGCCAAAATAATAGTAGTGGTTGGAATAAGTATTTAGCTGAAACTACTGACCTGTACAAGGCAGCCATGTAAAGTACTGAGCCGGAGAAAGAGCTTACTGAAGGGTGTCTGCAGTGTTTGTGAGATGCTGGGGTATTTCCTGGAGTTAAGATTGTTCTTGTTTCCCTTAAATTTAGATATGGTTTGCTTTTACTCCAGAGAGTCTGGTGAAGGTATTCAGCACAGAGTTGGTTCAATTCTATTTTAATATTTGTTGTTTCTCTTTATAAGAGAAAATTCTCACATTTGTTTTTCAATTAGTTCCTCAAAAAAAGATTACATTCAGAGTGAGATATGTGACTCCTCTTTTGACAGCAATGCAAAATGAAGTCACTTATGAATTTCTGTGAAGGAAGGCCCTGAGAGAAATAAAATCAGTGTTTTAGGAAACTTAATCCTTCCAGAGCTAGTGACTGATCTGGAATTTAGTTCTTGCATCCAGAGTTTCACTTAACTGTGTGATGATTAGGTAACTTAAGCCATGACTCAAACTGTATATAATTTAAATTCCCCTTTTAATGATTAATTGTATGAGTCTGTAAATATTCAAGGGTTTGTTTTTTGTGGGTTGGGGTTTTTTTAAAGCTACATATATCACTGTTTGGGTATCGCAAATGACTGTTAGTGCAGCAAATTATTTGATTAGGCTAAAACCTTCCAGGTTTTTAATGTTTCTTACACTGAAGTAATAATTAAAATTTCAGCACTTAATAGATTCCTATTAGCAAGATCTGAATGGAGGTTTCACAGATGTGGCTTTTGAGAAAGCAGCCTTGGGTTGCTTGAAGGCAGTGAGCACTCAGAGAAGAGCTGCTCTGGCTTGGTGTTCCTTGCTAGATTTATGTTAAAGATTATGTTAAGTCTTAATAGGGAGTAGAATTGTTAATTTGTTACTGGAGAGAGGGAGGCAAGCAAGCTGTTAATTTTGTCTCAACTTTTTAAAAAGTGCTAAAGCTTCAAAATGTATTTGTGTACATTAAGTCTGCACTGTCAGGATTCTGCTTGTAATGTAAGAGTGGAACGCTATAGTGTTTGGAGAAATAATAGTTCAGAATACTAGAGTTAGTCTTCTATCAAATATAGACTACTTTTGCTTGTAATCTTGCTGTTGGAAGGTAGCCTCTGGAAAATTAGTCTTAGTTTAACTGCTCTGCACACCAGAACAACTTTGGGAACTCAGTAAATTTATTTCAATTGCCTTGTTCTTGTTGATTTCACCTCCCAGGTGCATTTTCATGTTTGTCAGAAACCATAAAGATTCCTTATTCTTTAAGATTAAAATAGCTATGTTCAGAGGGGTATTAGGATCAATATTGAAAATTCCAGCTACATGCTTTGTCCTTTCTTGTCTTAACATGGAGTGTAGGGTTTTCCTTTTTGTGCTTTGACAGATGTGCAGTGTTAGTTCTAAAGATTTTTTTTTTTTTTTTTTTTTTTTTTTTTTTTTTTTTTTTTTTTTTTTTTGGTGGGTGAGAGGGGAGGTTTGGGGTATCTTCAGCATGGCATTTTTTCAAACATTTTTCATGTGCTTAGGTGCATCCAAGCAGAAGTCAAGTTCCCTGCAGGTAGCAGATAAGGACCTACTGCCACCTTTTCACCCATACCAACCTTTGGAATGCATAGTAGAAGAGACTGAAGGCAAGCTGAATGAACTTGGACAGAGAATTAGTGCTATTGAAAAAGCACAACTTAAATCATTGGAATTAATTCAAGGTGAACCTTTAAATAAGGATAAGATTGAAGAACTTAAAAAGAACAGAGAAGAACAAGTACAGAAGAAGAAGAAAATATTGAAGGAGCTGCAGAAGGTGGAAAGGCAGTTGCAGATGAAAACCCAACAGCAGTTTACCAAAGAATATTTGGAGACCAAAGGTCAGACAGACACACCACTTCCCCTGCAGCAGCAGTGCCCACTTACAGGGATCTTCCCAGAAGTGGAAGCTGATAAGGGTCTGCCAGAGGGTAACTTTTCAGGGTTACCTCAGGTTGACACAATCTTGTCTAAAGATGATGAGCAACAACAGTCTCCACCACCTGCTGAACAAATAGAGTTTGTCCCTATCCAGCCTTTGCCAGCACCGCAATGTAATTTCTCTGGTAATTTAGGTTATAATGGGACAGAGTCTCTTGAACTTCAGAAAGCATTAGGGAATCAGCAGAATGTAGGACAGCAGCAAATTGCTGGGCAGGGGCTCTTAGTTCAAGAACCAGACGGATTAATGGTTGCCACTCCAGCACAGACGCTTACCGACACTCTTGATGACCTAATAGCAGGTGGGTTAAGAAATATACCTATTTTTGCATTAATTTGTGTGCTCAGTTTCCCTCTTTCTCCTTCCCTCCAAAAACATCTTGGGGTTTTCCAGTTTGGGAATACTGCTTAAGAATAAAGTTCCTGATTAGTGCTATTAATCCTAACAGTGACTTCCAATTCTAACATGAGACTTTAAAATATCTTTTTTCCAAAGTGTGAAACTTCCTGTACTGGAGACCTGTTTTAGCCCCTTTGGCTGCTTCTTTTTCCATGCTTCTTTAAAAAGCCTTATTATGAGTGATTAGTAGTGCCCATTAGGAAACCTGAAAGCATGACAGTTTTGTATCTTCTTATACTTCAGTGACTTTCTTCATTGTGGTAGCCATCTCTAGAAAAAGCCAAATTATTGTCACTTGTATGGACAAATGTGCCCCTCTCCTTGCTGCTCAAGGTGTTGCTACGGTTTAAACACAACCTGGAATCTGCACAAAACTGCTCAGTTCTGTATTGACTTGTGTTTTCAGAATACCCTCTAAACCCTGGTTGTGGTACAGGAATATCTGCTTGTTAGATATAACATATGGCAAAAATGTGTCCTGTTTATCTGGATGAAAAGCAGTAATCCAAAGATCCTTCCATTTGTTGATAACTGTGTGAAGAGGAATGGAAGTTCCCACACATTGGGTTGTGTGAATCCCCTTGTGAAGAGGTATCATTTTGGTTGACTTCATTTCATGGATTTTACTAGGATTGATGTTTGCTGCTGGAGGTATGTAGGATATAGCCAGTGTTGTTTGGTCTGTAGCTTTTTTAATTTAGTGTTTTTCAACTTTTCTTTGCACCTTGTGTTTGTCCCTCAGCCCTTATTTTCCCATCTCCACCCACATCCACACCCATACCCTACCTCCCCATAGTTACTGTTCATAGTTACAAGTTCATTTCAAGGTTGTAGAAATGTGCAGTAAGACCTTTTCCCAGCCATTCCTGTGAACTTTTAGGATGGTAACTGTATCAAGCTCATATAAGTCAAGACTACCTGCAACTTTGCATCCTGCCATGGAAACCCTTGGCTTAATAGTGTGGTGTGTTTGTACCAGCTCCCTTCAGCTATACAGTGTAATTCAAAGACATTCTCTTGAGTTATAGAGCGTCAGTCCCCCCTTTTCTGGCATGACATGCCTCCTTTTCCCACTCTACAGTGCTCTTCAGAGAATTCAGCCAACATTAAAGCAAAATTACTCGCAATTTAGTGCTGGAACGCGTGAGGCAGAAAATTTGAATGGTTGATTCAAAACATAATTGACAAGGGCTTAATCTTTGAAGTAGTTTCTGTTGCTGACCATGTCACATTATCTAGCATAAGACCATGTAGTATATACCCTTTTGTGGTTAACAGTTGCATATCACATCCAGAATATTCAGTGCACCCAAAATGAAGAACTGCTGCAGTCAGCTGAGTGAATGAACTATGCCATTTGAAAAAAGATTTCAAACTAGAGAAACTTTACCGTAAAAATAGTTTTAAAAACCTGAATACATTCATTTTCTGCAATTGTTTACTGGTTTTGCTACATAATTAAAGACATGTTTTGCCAAGAAATTACTTTTGCTCATTTCAAAAATTGGTACAAATAGCATACCTTTCTACAACTATTAGAAACTATATTTACAGATATGCAACTCGGGCAACTTTAGCTGTCCAATTCCAGAGGTTCCTGCAAAAATGTATTGATGTTACTATATTGAAATATGTTTTCTTCTGAAATTCATGTTTGCTTTACTTCCGTCCCCTGCCAAAAAATGTTGGAAGAGAATTAGATACTTTGCTCACTTTCAAAATCAAGACTGTGTAAGAGAGTGACCCATGGAAGTTATCATCCTAGTCTATCTCAAATTTATATACATTTAAAAACCATAGATCTACCTACTCATACTCCAAACTCCTTGATTAGTGTTTAAAACACTTGACCATTTTTCACAGATTTGCCCTTTAGTCCTTAATTTTGTGAAGAAATTTTGAGCAGTAGAAACTGTTACGAGAACTGATCTTTACATGTGTGCTAAAGATGACAAATAAAATTAAGGGGCTTGTGCCTGGTGTGCAGGAAGTCTGTCTCTTGTGTCCTCGCACTCAGATGTGCGGATAAAGTGTCTCCCTTGATCACAGTACCACTGGTGGAGTTCCAGTAATGGTGGTGAGTGATTGTTGGTTTAGAAGAGGAATGAACTTTTGTATTCAGCTGAGTATTCCAGTTTGTATCGGGTCTACTTCAGAAGAACAGAAATGTTAAAATGGCTTTTTGCCCTCTGCACTGAAATACGTTTAACTGTTGCTCTTACCAGTGGCAGTGTAAGAGGCAAATTTTTCGAAACTTCAGTTGAGACTTGTCGTAAAGGAGAACCTGCATTTCTACAAAGCCTCAAATGTTTATTTTCCTGATGAACTTAATTGTAACAACATAAATAAATGGTGTATTTATCTTGCCAGTCTGCTGGCATAATTTGTCAGCTGCTAGGTGTTGAGATGATTGATGTCAAGTTGATAACTGCTGGAAGTCTCGATGGTAGTCAGTAAGTCATGGATACATACCCAAGTCCCCTCTTTCATAAAACTACACAGAAATCACTGAGTAACCTTTGGGAAGTCATGTAAAACCTAAAAATTAAGCAGCTCTTTCCACTCTAGGATGTCTTGCTCATAATGGAGTTTTAGATGTTCTGAAGCAAAAATCTTGCAACTAATCCCATCTTTGAAGGTGTGACTCATTACAGTCAAAATTTCAATTGAGTTTGCAAAAGAGGTATAGATGTACAGTTTAGAGTAGGAAAGCAATAAGTTGTTTTGGATCACATCTTCCAATAGAAGAGGATGTTTTGGATCTAATTTTCATTACTCAGTACACATTTGGTTTCTTGAAGCATCTTGTCTTGCATAGTTGGAGTTTCATTTCAGTTCACATTATGCATTTACTATAGTAGATTTCTTAGTTGGCAATATCTAAATTAAGGGTTTTTTTGCTGTTTTAGGTATTCAAGATGAGGAACTTTCTTTTCTTTGTTGCTAGGTTTTGTCTCTAGTTGGAATATTTTTATTCCTGTTTGTTCTACTTGACTGGTGTTTTTAGTCAGAAGGTGGCATCTCTGTGTGCTTCTGTCTGACTCTTCCTGCATACTGCCCTTTGTATACTGAAATTCTAGGTGTGTTTTGAGACACTTTATTTAACTGTTTTTTGGTTCTGAAATTCTGGTTGTGGTTGGTAATGCAGAACTGTGGTATTTTAAGGTAATGATTTGAAAAGTGACATTTGAGGATTGCTGTTTGGAGTAAAACTGGCTAATAGGGTAATCTGGTGTGAGAAATGGTGACTCATAAAACAAGATGCAAGTTAGCAATGTGCAAAAGCCTCTGTGCAGTGACATGTTACTGAGAAGCTGCATGGACAGGCTGAAAGACTGCTCAGTCATGAAAAAGGATTATTTTCTTTGTCCTAAAAATCCCAGTTCCTTTGAGGAAAGGGGAACTGAAATCCAAGTCTGGTATTCATGAGCACTGAACATTCATGCTTGTGGCATGACAGTGGTTAGGTAGGGGCAAGTTTCAGACTATAGCAGCAGTCTCACCCAGAGCTGCTTGCATGAGGCTCTGCCAGTGCCTCAAGTCATACTTAGTATTTTATCTAAGTACTTGCTTCCTCTTGTTTTACTCATGTTTCCTGTGATATTTTTCTTAATTTTGGAAAATAGTCATGTATGTCTTTAGAGACCTGTCTTTGACTTCACACTGATTCAGAGAAAGTCCCTTCGGAAAGTTGCAAGACCTTCTTAAAATGTGGGGAACCTGGATTTTGTCATATGCAGAATAACTTTTTTTTTAAATACACAAGTCTCTTGAGTACTGAAGTCTCTGGAAATATCCAAAACCCATGTCACAAAATAGGTATTTTATAAAGATTTGAGGTACTCATTGTGAAAATCGATTTTATTTATTTATTTATTAAAATAGCTGGCTGGCTATCAGTGTGTTTATCAGTACCCTTCCTGGTGAGAAGGCAAAATGCCTGTTCAGAAGGAAGCAATATGCATGCTGGAAAGTTTCTGCCTTGTCTTCTCAGAGGGTGAAAGCTGCACGTGTTTCTAGTCTGTTAAAATCTTGCAGTGTGGCATAGAGATGCTGAAGGGGGTGATCCCCCATGGTTGGTTTTGTGCCATTCCCCTTGGAGTTATGGGTGGTGCCAGTGATGCTCTCCACTGCCAAGCTGTGGTGCCACAGTCATCCTGCATTAGTGCAAATTATTGAGATGAAAGTCTGGAGTGGGTATGGTGGTATTGCTCCTTGGGGAGACTGTTCATTACCTTCTGGCACTGAGTGTGACCAGTAAAGACCAGTGATCAGCAAGATGTCCTTGACTTCCCTGGGGCCAGTGTCAGACCATGAAGCCACACCTCGGGCACAACCAGGCTCCTCCTGGAAACAGGAGGCAAAAGCTGAGAGGTGGCTCTCAGGGAGTCAATAGAGGGTGACCTCATCTCCCTGAATGGGGTTTGCAGGAGCAGCAGCAGCTGTCCCAGCTCCTGTGATTGTGGTTGTGTTTTGCCAATTATCAGGGCTAGCATTAAGGACACAGCCAGCATAAAGATGAACCAATAACCAGATTAAATTTGACACAAAAGGGACAGTACATGGGTGAGCGCTGGGGGTACAAACAAGTCAATCAGGATATATAATTGACATCAATCCCACTGACCCCAACAGTGATGCTGCATGACCAACAATGGGTGGAATAAACAGTGAAATGCAGTCTCTCATAGAAGGGATGGAGACAACCAGGTCAACAAGCCAAACACATCAGACCAAGGAAGCCACATACTGAATCTCTACACAGCCCATGTTTACAAAAGCCAGACCTGACTGGAGCCCAGTCCCAGGGAGGTGGGAGGTCCTTCCCCAACAGGGAACTCTGCACAGTGCACCCACCTCACAGACAGACACTGCCCCTGCCTGCAGGTGGTCCCAGCTTTTATCCCTCAGTGGGACACCTGACCTTTGTTCACTTAATGTGGGACACCTGGGGCTCATTTACCCTGGAGGGAAGCTTGAAGGCAAACTCACCCCCACTTTGTGAAGGACTGTGGGAATCACCCATATGTCAATTTGGGGCTTGGAGTTGAAATCCCAGCATTTCAGGTTGGTAATCCAGAAATGGACTTGGGGAAACATGAGTTAACTCCAATTTCATACAAGTGTATGCAAAGGGATGTTGAAACCATTGTTGCGAGGTCATCTTTGATGACCTGTATGTTATATAACCCAGGCTGAGGTAAATCAGTCTCATGAAACTGGAGGTAGAAGTTCTCAGACATGTTTTGCTCAACAGATCTTAAATTATGTTGATGCTTCATTGGGCCAACTTGCAAGCCACACTAAGGAAATAAAAAATTATGCTTTAAAAAAATCCTGTGGCTTTGTAAACTCAGTAGTTATAGAGGGGATGATTAATCAGTGGGTGTCATAGGACTATTTGTTAGATTTTATTTTTAACAGGAGTTTGGGGTGTCAGTACAGGGTTTATCTGCATTTCTATTACCTTTGGTGTTTTCTCTTGCATTTGACATCATTGCTACTGTGCACACGAAGTGCTTAGCACACACTCAGATGTTTCAAGCACATGATGAAAATCTAAAGTACACAAGAAATACTTGGACATTTTCAGTTATGGTTGTGAAGTGCAGAGAATTTTGTGGAATCTGTAACAGCAACACTGAATATATTACATTAAGGACCCTTACACTGACTCAAGTTAAGTGCCTCTGTGCACCCCTGCTTTGTCTGCACAGCACGCACATGTGTCCTTAGACAGATCTGTAGTTGCAAAGTCTGACAGCCAGGGTCTTCATGAGGAAGGACCACTTTGATTTAACAGGGTGATTTGGTGTCTTGTATTTTGGAAGGGATAATCTCAAGAAATCCAATTAGTGTCTTGCACTTCAGTGCATTGAGGGAGAAAACAATTGTATTGCATTAATTAATGCTCATCTGGTGCTGTAAGTAATCGATAGTAAGCAGATGAAGTATGGGAGCTTTTATATTTGAAATTTTTAATACAAACCTGATTTGCTCATGACTTCTTCATATTACAACATTCAACACTGAATGCAGATACTGGACTTTGTTGCTTAAATGTGGTAGCCAAATATTAATGCTGAGTTTGCCCATGCACCAGGGAGAATGCTTTACTTGAAAAATAAAATTGAAAACTGTCACCTCCTAAAATTTCAGTGACCATCCTCCCCCATGTTTCTAGAACTCAACCGAAGTGACCCATCTGAATGTGCTCTACTCTGTTTCCTTGTCATGCATATGCAGTCCTGTAGACCAAATTAGTGATATTAATGGCCCTGTTGAGGATTTTTCTAAGACTTCTCTGTCTGCACCATTTTTCTGTGTGTAGTTGCTGGTGTGTAATTTGTCAGTGGAATCAGGAAGGTTGAGCTGGGAAATGTTTGCAGAAATTTCTCTTTAAGTCATACACAGGTTTGAGTTCATCCTTCACCTCCCCTCAGTGCTTGAACCACCTGGACAAAAGCAAAATGTTGCTGCTTAGTTCTTATTTGCAGTTGTTAGTGTTTTCCATTGGTTGTTTGTTCCAGGAATACAACAAAATACTGTGTGTTTTGGAATAATTAAAGCTAAGCAGATATTCCATCTAATGAGGCTGCACAGTATAGAAATTTGGCAACCCAGAACTGACAATACTTGTCAAACCCAGCTGCAATATTTGCATGGTTTACTGTTAGACCTTCCTGCCAAGTAATCCACATGTGGGCTCCCCTCAGACCGTCGTTTGATTACAAAGACAGGCAGAGATCTTAGCCACGTGGTATATATGTGCAGGGGTATTTTTCTGCTTGTTCTGGTAAAGCTTCATTAAAAACTAGTTGAATAAAATCTGATTCTCAATTATAATATCTTAAAGCATGCTTTTTATATAAAAATAAGATAAAACTGCATTCCTTATGTCTCTGAGCTGTGCTAGATTTTCAGGATATAATTTTTACAGGCTGTGGATCAATCAGAATAAATTTTAGGGAACACAGATGGTTTTAAGCTTTCTTATTTTTGTACACTTGCCCCCCTCCTGTCTGCTTCTCTTCCACTCTTCCTGGGTTGTTTTAACTCTGAGACATGATCAGTGGTATAAGTTGCTGTCAGTCATTTTGCTTCGAAAACCTTCTCTGGAGCCTAGGTGTGCACTAACCTTTACATGAGAAACTTCTGAATTCTAGGATGAGACTGTATTTCTGGACATTAGGTTTGTGTTTTAGTGATAAATCATTTGCCTGCTTAGACTGAGCATATGATGGAACAGTGAAGGTTACAGTTTGAAAAGGATAACTAATCTTAGTAATTCATACTCCTAATGTATACAGACTAATTAATAAAATTATTTTCTAACTTAACACAGTTTGGAGATGATGCTTACACTGTTTAACTGCTGGAAAGCTTCTTTGCGCAAGACATCAACTTGTTTATTCTTAGGAACACTTAACTTGTTTCCCCTCATTGTTTTGATATTAGACTATTGCAGTTTTAAGGGACTAAATATTTTTTCATATAAAATGTGGCATTCCTACAAGTGGATTAATAACACTATTACTTTTCAGCTGTGAATAGCAGAGTGCCCAGTGGCTCCACCAGCTCCTCGCACACTACCGAGTCCCCTACGTCTGAACCTTGTTCACAGGCACCAAGCAATGTCCCCTCGCAGTCGGTGCTCCCTATGTATCCTTCGGTTGACATAGATGCACATGTGAGTAATTGCAATTGGTTTTGAGTGGAGTTGCTTTCTGAAAAGTTCCGAAAGGAAAACATTTAATCTAGTACTTTCTGTAAAATGTTAATGTTCTCTTAATGTATTTTTAATTTCTGAATATCTGCTTCTTTTTATTCCCAACCATGAAGACTGAAAGTAATCATGACACTGCTCTGACCCTTGCGTGTGCAGGAGGTCATGAAGAACTTGTATCTGTACTGATAGCACGTGGTGCCAATATTGAACACAGAGACAAGAAGGGTAAGCTAAAACAGTTTGACCACGAACTACAACTTGAAACAGAATTTCAAACTGGGATTTGGGATTCTATGCTTCAGAAAATTACCAAAGCTTGCAAAAATATAGAATTTTATTCTTGCACTTCATGTAGAAATATCAGTCATATAAAGCCAGGACATTGCATGCCTTTCTATCTGTAGTTTTGAAAGGAAGTGCATCTGAGCACTGTCTTAAGCAGATTTGAAATGTGAAGCACTTTTCTCCATATAATTCACCCTCTAAAAAAGACCCTAGCATACTAGATAGAGCAGCTAATGGGGGTAAATACCAAATCTGGGCTGACAGAGCTAGTGGTGAGTATTTTCCAGATTATTTATCATATTCCCAATAGTGGAGTTCAGCAAAATCTCAAATCTTTAGAGCTGAGAAGAAAAAAAAACACCATGCCCCTCTCCTTGGAACTTATATTGACCACTGGAAATAAGCAACATGTGCGGTGCAGATGTGTTCACTTGTTGGAACCTTATTAAATAGGAATTAAGTGGAAGGCTGTGACTTCTCTGAAGAGATAAGTTGGTCAGAACTTAATACAATCTGATCAGTCCAAGTACTGTTTAGATTTCTTTTGAAGAGCCTTTAATTATATTTGACTGGAATCAGATCAGGGTCAGAAGATTGTGGCTTTATACCAGGATGCCCCCAGTCTGACGAAAACACATCTGATCAATAGAAGTCATTGTGAATTAAACCTTTTGTGCATTGATATTCTCAAGGTTGCTTTTAACGTGATCTCTTGTTACTAGGTTTTACACCTTTGATTTTGGCTGCAACTGCTGGACATGTTGGTGTCGTGGAAATTCTTCTAGACAAAGGTGGGGATATAGAAGCACAGTCTGAGCGCACAAAGGATACTCCGCTTTCATTGGCATGCTCTGGTGGACGCCAAGAGGTACAGACATACTTGTCCTCAATGGGTTTGAATTGGTTTTTGTAGGTAGTTTTTAGTACAGTGGGCATTTTTGTTGATAATGTAATAAATCATCCCCTTTTTTTGGAAGGTTTTACCCTGTATAACTGTAGCTAATTTAAGGCCTTTTCTTCTTCCAAGAGGAAGGGGAATTTATTCTTCTCTCCCTTGGCTCTTCCAGTTTTATTAGCTAATAGTTGTTATAACTTGTGGTCATTTTTCAGTATCCTTGCAAGATAAGTACTTTTGCAAGGGAGGTAGAGATGTTCAGTGACTAACTTTATTCACAGAATACTTCCCTAATGCATCTTCCCCCCTCTCAAAACTGAAACAGCCGGTGCAGGCACACAAGCCAGAAACTGCAGTTTTACGTTGGCAGATTTTAGTGGTTCTGTGCAGTCCTGATAAGTTCAGGTGCAGTGCAGGGCACATTATACTAGTCTTAAGGATGTTTTGGTTTTCTCTCAGCTTTTTATTATTGTTTTATTCCAAATAAGATTTGTTTAAACCCTTCCTACTTTAGTCATGGGCATACTAGCTTAGAAGATGGCATGGAAATGGCAAAGGACTCTGTGCCAGATATGGGAGTGGTAAGTTTTGGAACTTGTAAGGATTAAAACAGTTGGCCAAAATTGGAAAGTTTCCACTTTGACTTTTGAATTGCAGATCTTTAACAGTAAAAGTGCTGCTCACAAATTAAAAGTAGAGATCAATGTGGCCTGTGATAGTGTTACTTACTGAACTACTTAAGTCTTTGTTCTTACTCTTTTTTTTTAATTTTCCTTATGCCAGAATCTATCCCTTATGTTTCTGGTTTAGTAACTTGTGAGACAGGCTTTTTCTGGCTTATTTGAAAATCACCTAGCCTGTATTAGTAGTAAAATGAGTCCCTATCCTGGTTTGAGCCCAGAAGGCAACTGAGCACCACACAGCCCTTCACTCACCCCTTTCCCCTCTGCACTGGGAAGGAGAAAATTAATCAAAAGGCCCAGGAGTGGAGATAAGGACAGAGAGAGGTAGCTCTGCTGTTATGCTCACAGATAAAAGAGAGGCTCCTTAGGGGAGGAAAAAAGACATCACTGGAATTCAGAACACTAACAACAGTGACACTTAACAGACAGAATGGGACAGTGAGAAATCATTATCATATCTTTTAAAAACCACTTCCCCCCACCCCTCTCATCTTCCCAGGCTCAGTTTTGTTCTCAATATACCTACCTCCTCCCGCAGCAGCACAGGGGCAGGGGATGAGGGGGTGCAGTCTGTGTAGTGCTTTTTTTTTTCCTGAAAAGGGGAGGGGGGAGCAGGCATTCTACCTCTCCCTTCTCCAGTGTGGTCACTTTTCATGGGAGACAGCCCTCCACAAACTTTATCTGTCATGAGTCCTCCCTACAAGATGCATTCTTCTCGAGATGTTCCGGTGTGGGTCACCTCCATGTGTTGCAATCCTCCCAGCACCAAATTACAACAGTGAGAGCTTCTTTTTCCCATATAGTCCTGGGGGGTCCTTCACAGGCTGGTGACCTCCATGGGTGTTAGAGGATGGCCCTGCTGTCCCACCATGGGATACATGGGAGACATTCTGCTCTGGCACACCTCCCCTTCTTCCTCCTCATTTCTTCTGCTGACCTCAGTGTTTGCGGAGGTGTCCTTCTCATGACTCATCCTCAAAGTTTCCAACCCCCTCTCCCATTCCCCTTCTTAAATACATTACAGCAGAGGCGCAGCCACCGTTGCTCGACCTTGGCCAGAGGCAGTTCTGACTTGGACCAGGGAAACTTTAGAGAACTAGATTCTCACAGGGGGCCACTGCTGTAGCCCTCTCCCCCACTATCAAAACCCCTGCTGCTCAAACACAGCACAGGCCCACTGAAGTGCAGTACATTAACAGAAATGTTTTAGTTTTTCCCCCTTTTATGTCTCTTCAGCAGCTTTTGATAGAGAAGTCCTTCCTCATGCTTGTTCCATTAGCATCAGTTGGTCTGATTTTTACCATGTGTTTTGTTGGAAAGACCGTATAATACAGATGGTCAAACTTGGCTCAAGTGTCATTTGAATTTAAGGTGTGGGAGTTTGAGAGAGACACTCAAACAGTGTGAGACATTATGAGAGTGGGATAAATCCCTTGTTTGCAAACTTAAGATTCACAGGAAGAGCTTCGCTTTAGAGCTTTGCATTTTTTATTAGGTAAAATAATTTTTCTGGAAGACAAGTGCTGCACTGCTACAACCCACGCAGATTAGCTGATGTATTCATCAGTTGCTAAGTCTGTACAACACATATGTAAAAGTAAAGCGAAAGAGGATAGAGTTTTTCCTGCAGAATCTTACCTATTGACAATGGAAATTGGTAGCATACTGGAAGATTTGGTTCACTTTCTGAATAATAGTGAAGGCCACAACATGTCTTGTAATATGCATGCTGTCTTTCCAGGTTGTTGATTTGCTGTTGGCCCGGGGAGCAAATAAAGAACATAGGAATGTGTCTGATTATACGCCATTAAGCCTTGCTGCATCTGGTGGCTATGTTAATATCATCAAGATTCTTCTCAATGCTGGGGCAGAAATTAATTCAAGGTAATACACTATGTACACCAGCTGAAGTGTGGTATAGCACAGACACTCTGTTGCTGGCTGTGTACTGAGCATAGGTTGGAATCTCTAGTACTTCCAGACCACCTTGCAGCCTTTCTGCATTGTTGTTATCCTTTATGTTCATGTTATCTTAGTCCTTTTAAATTGCCTTTAACTACCGCAAACTTCATCTCCTTTATACCCAAATTTTAAGGGATTGCTGTAGTTTGCAAACCTATTCCTTCCCTTTCCCTTTTCCACCATTCTGGGATCTAGAAGCCAAACTATTTCCAATAGAACCAGCTAAAGGAACCAGCCAACACAATCAAGGCAGCTCTGTATGTTTGTTTGAAGATGTCTTTTTCAGAAAGAGGAACAAATTTAGAGTGCTATGTCTCGTAAGCCTCCTCTTTTTTCCTCTTGAGAAAACTTACCTATATTCTGTCACTAGAGAAAACTAAAACTGCATCTGTACTAAAAGCATTTTTTTTTTCTGAAAGAACCTGATGCAGCCTTGATTATAGTATATGTAGTTTAAGGCTTATGTGTGCTTCAGCCATCTGCATGTCTAAGCTGAAATGTATTTTTCTTGTTTATAAATTACAATTGTCTATTGCATGTAGTTACTCTGGTTTCTCCTAATCAATTAAAAATGCTAGTAGGTCAGTGTCTATATTTGTGTATGTTATATGTTCCTTTTTGGCTTACAACAAAATGTTTTCTTCCTCTGAAATACATTTCTCAGAGCATTCCTTTGGTTCTGGGAACTGCAGTTTTGTTTCTTTGCCTTCTAGGACCGGGAGTAAGCTAGGTATTTCTCCTCTGATGCTGGCTGCTATGAATGGCCATGTACCTGCCGTGAAGCTGTTGCTTGATATGGGTTCTGACATAAACGCCCAAATTGAGACCAACCGGAATACAGCCCTCACCCTGGCCTGTTTCCAGGGCCGAGCAGAGGTGGTCAGTCTGCTTTTAGACAGGAAGGCCAATGTCGAGCACAGGGCAAAGGTAAGTGTGTGAATTGCCTTTCCTTATGGCTTATTTCTAACAGGTGATTTCTCTGAGTCATCGGGTTTCTTCAAATTTTCCTGAGCCTCTCTGTGCTCAGAGGACTTATTAAATTTTCTGAAATAAGTTTGGCCTTGGAAAAAAAAAAAATAGAAGCAGCAATGATTGTGAATTTTTTTGCATTAGGGAAAAGCTGACTGGTTGTTCTGAGTTCATAGTGAAGCTTAGATTGACTCTTGTTCTGTAGTACTGAGAAACTTTTCAGGTTTAAGCTTGACATGATGCTCATTAACAGAACAGATATACATACATATTTTTACATATGAGTGAAGTCCAGGCAGGAAGAGAATAGTGTTGCTTATAGTGATTCTTATATAGAACAGATTTCTTGTCTACAACCAAAGTAGTGCAATCAAACTTTGTAAAGCTTTTACGTTGCTGTAGAACCCATGGCTTCAGTACTGTGACTTTCTGTGCCTCTGAAATGCTCCACAGGTCCCATCCTTTGGTACTCTGGGACAGCTTTGTGTCTCCTGCCATAAAGCAAGCTTAAAGCTTGTGTAGACAGCCAGACTGATTTCCCCAGCACAAAGGAATTTTTGGTAACTCCTAAGGCTGCTGAAATAATTGCTGTGTCTGTCTACCCCGCCTGCTTCTGGAATGACTGTGGCTGGAGAAAAGGGGATATGGATAAAAGCCAGCTCTCAAATGGTCAGTTGGGCATGTTAGCAGCTAGTAGATAAGTTTATTTAACAGTCTAGCCTGGCAACTAAGTTGGACACAGATCAGTCTCAGTGCTAAGGGAGGCTAGAGAAAAGCTATAAAGCCAGTTTCTGAGCGTTTTCATAGAAACACTTGAGTCTTCATTTGGATCTGTTCTAACTTCTGTTTTAGAGATTCTGTTGTAAACTATGTTTTTGCTGTTGAGACAGGTATCTGGTGGTACTTAGTCAGGAGTTTGCTTGAGTTTGTGTAAGTCAGAGCCCAAGAGTATTTGGGTTTTGGGGTGTTTTTTGTTTTGTTTTGGGGTTTTGGTTGGTTTTTTTTGGAGAAAGTTTGAAGTTAGGCTCCTAAACTAAATAAAAGCAGCTAAATAAAAAGATCTGATTTCCCTGTGTAGAAGTCGTTATGTCTTATCTGAAGTATATTGTACACATTTCACACTGTGTAACTCATTCTGTTGGCACAGACTGGTCTCACACCTCTGATGGAAGCGGCTTCAGGAGGATATGCAGAGGTTGGAAGGGTTCTCCTCGATAAAGGAGCAGATGTTAATGCTCCACCTGTGCCTTCCTCAAGAGATACAGCTTTAACAATTGCAGCAGATAAGGGTCACTACAAGTTCTGTGAACTCCTAATTAATCGGTAAATTATTTCTTTTCATTAGCGGCACATTTGTTCTGTAGCTGTATTCCTCTGGCAGGAGTGCCCTTGTTTACATTGCCTTGTGCATCTGAGAGCAAAGGGAACTGGAAGCTTTGGAAGTAGGATGTTTTATCTGTTCCCTACTCTCCAGTGTAATCCTGTAGTGTCCTGCTACTCCAGTGTTAAGATAAGCAGGATAACTGGGCCCAGAGGTAAGCAAACAGCATCTGGCTTGGCAGATCTGTTGACTTGTGTATTAATTCAACAATTCCCATGTGAGTGTTTCCCCACTGTCACTTGAGGGGCAAAGATAGGAAGTAGCTCTTGATCTCTTCGGGCATAACCCGGTGCGCTGCTAAAATCTCAAGGGGCTGCCTTCATCCTGTGGGTAGTCACCACATCAATGATTATTTAAAGGACTCGTGGTCAGTAGTTGCATAGCTGTGGTGCACTAGGCTGCATTAGGTGAGTGTTAGTCTCTGTAAGGGAGGTTGAAATAATCCCTGTATCACTACATTGCAATTTAAACAACAGATTTCAGGGACAGAATTTCTCTAGCTGCCAGATTTCAGTAATTCTATATCCAATTGTTCTCTGATCTTTTGTGATCTTACTTCCCGACTTCCACCTTTACTCATACCTTGTTTCACTCAATTTCACTTGTACTTTTTTAGAGGAGCACATATTGATGTTCGTAACAAGAAAGGAAACACACCTCTGTGGTTGGCAGCTAATGGTGGTCACTATGATGTGGTTCAGTTGCTTGTGCAAGCAGGAGCAGATGTGGATGCTGCAGATAATCGGAAAATTACACCTCTTATGTCAGCATTTCGCAAGGTAGGAGACCAACTTAACTTTATGTTTCAATGCTAAATGGTTTTTAAAACAGAATTTCTCATTTGGCCTGAAATCGGAATGCTTGGTTTTGGGAGAATCAAACATTACTCAGCAAAATTACTGTTTTGATGAAATGTCTGCTTCAAGCTAATCACAATCTGTGTAATTTACACAGATTTAAATTTTGAGAGGTGAAAACTTTATTCCATAAACCATTTTAACTTTATCATTTCCAATTATATACTGTCCAAAAACTTTTATGTTTGAGATTTCAGTGTTTTGAGATTACCATAGTCCCTTTCCAATTTCTGCAGATTATACTTCTTGTTTCAGTCCTGCTTTTGAGATTAACAAAATACCAGTCTGTAATAAATAGTCCTGATTCCTTTGTACTTCCCCTGTTCTGTTCCTAGTTTTTGCTGAGTTGGACACTTTGTGTAGTCAGCTCTTTTGTCACCACCTTTTTTTCTTGGCAGGAAGAATATTGCTTTGTGATGGTTTCACCAGTTATGTTGTTGGATGTAAGGAGCACAGCTATAGCAGAGGAATTTATTAACTGTAGCTGCTTTGCCTTTAACAAAATATCAAATAAGTGTACAGTTTTTTTGACAAACAGCAGTAGTGACTATGCCACTGCTTTCAAATACCTTCAGAGGCAGCAGTTGGATACCTTCGGTGTGGTTGCACAGTGTACCCCATCAATGAATGGATCCAGCAACAGAGGAACATATTTGCCAGGATAATACTCAGGAGACTTAGTACCCTGATCCAGACATACCTTGTAACTGAATCAATAAACCAAGTTAGCTCCATAGTTTCAGTGCCAAGAGAGTGGGTCAGGGTGACATGTGGGGTCTAAAGATGGTCGTCTTGGCTGTTAATAGAACCATGAACAGCTGCCTGTGCCCTTAGGCCTCATTTGGTCCTTGTATTTTAAAATAAAAATTACTTGTGTGAGAGCTTGTCTTTGCCACCATGATGTAGAACAGCAGACATGCTGTCAACACTGAGCAAACTACCTACCTTTCTTCCTAAACACCAGCTTACCAGAAATGTTCTTGCTTATTTTTAGTTTTTTTGCATTGGACTAAGAGGGATCAAACTTATGACAAACGTTGACAATTGTGTACAAGAGATCAGAATTTTCTTTGCTATTTTAGGGGCATGTCAAAGTAGTTCAGTTCCTGGTGAAAGAAGTTAACCAGTTTCCTTCGGATATTGAATGCATGCGATACATAGCGACGATAACAGACAAGGTGAGTGTAACTTCAGGAAATGACACTGTCCCTTATTTTCAGTGAAAATATACATGAGAAATTCTTAAGTATTCAAAAACTGAATGTGTATGTTCGTTCGTTTTATTTGGAGGTTTGTGAATGTCGTCTTTTTAATACAGAATTTAAAATACTTTTTTTTTTTTTTTAGTCCTATTCTGTTGAAATAGTATGTTTATGAATACAGGGAAGCTAATATTAAGTTTGTAGAGCAAGGCTTGGTCCTCAATTTTAGTTTATTACGGAAGTAGTAAGACAAGTTTGCATTCCAGGACCTGTTGAAAAAGTGTCACCAGTGTGTGGAGACAATTGTGAAAGCTAAAGACCAACAGGCTGCAGAAGCAAATAAGAATGCAACTATATTGCTGAAGGAGCTAGACCTGGAAAAAGTGAGTAGAGAATTACTGTTGTGTAGCATAAGAGTTTGAATTATGTATTAATCTATAGGCTCTATTTCCTTTTGGTGCCTCCTGGGGCAGTACTTTATGCTGTGACTGTATGTGCTTTCCTTCATCTAATATACAGAAAGTGAATACTGAGGGTGACAAGTTAGAACTGGCTTCTGGTTCAGCTGCTCCGTTGTGCTTTTTAGGAAAGCTTAGACTTGGGAATAGTTACCTTAGGTAGTAAGTAGCTCTCTTCAGCGCAGATGATGTGTGAATAAGGGAGGTCTTCAGTCTCTGGTGTGATACACGTTGTAGGTTTTATGTTGTGTAGGGCCAGTCTAAGCATTTTACAGACAGCTGCTCAGTGTTACAAAGGAGAGCCTGCCTACAAGCTGCCTGGTGAGCTATATGGAGTTGAGTTGGGAAAATCAACTTCTCCCTCACTGAGAATACTGTGAAGTGTCCCAGAGTAATGCAGACGTTTCATAAGCACTCTTTTGCTCTCTTAATGGAGGCTCTTAGAATTTTTGACAAAACAAATTCCATATTGGTTTATTAAATTTTTCGTGTTGCTGGCTTGTTAAACATCCATCAGTTGCTGCACAAAGCTACAGTATAACATAGTTGACTGATTTCGTACATTTAAAAAAGTGGTTAAAATGATAGGGGGTTTATATTGTAAAATATTCTGGGAGATCTTTTTAAGAGTCAAAGGTTGCTGCAGAAATTTTAATGAAGTTACTAAATGTTTTTTTGAGAAAGGACTGAGATGATGAGAGATTTTGCTGGTTTTCTGGTAAAATTATTTTTTTGTAATACCTCTGTTTTGGTTGTTACTTTGTTGTCATTCCTCAGAAGTTTTGGGACCAACCAGTCCTGTTGTTCCATAAGGTCTGCCCAGTTTCTGCATAATGATTGAGTATGTGATAAAGTTGTTATAGTTCATTGTGCTCTCTCCTTTCTCCCTCCCCCCAGATTTCTAAGGAAAATCTGAATTAGTCTGTGTGAAACTATTTAAATATGAACCCTTTTCTCCTATATAGTCAAGAGAGGAGAGCAGAAAGCAGGCTCTTGCAGCTAAAAGGGAGAAAAGAAAGGAAAAGCGAAAGAAGAAGAAAGAGGAACAAAAAAGAAAACAAGAAGAAGATGAAGAAAATAAGCCTAAAGAAACTCTTGAACTGCAAGAAGATGATGATGAAGAAGAAAATGATGATGAAGGTAAAGTACAAGTGTTTCTGTGAACAGTGTAGTTATGGGGGGGTGCCTTTTCTTAAGCATCTAGGTAAAGGAATCTCTCTGAAGGCTGCCTTCTCAGGTACTGGGAGGTTGTTGCATAGCTTCTGCACTGGTTCTTCCCCTTGCAGTCAGAGTTCCTGGCAAAACTCCTTTGTTCACTTCCCTCCCCCCACCTTTGTTCACTTCTCACCGCCCTTTGTTCCCACTCTTGGAGGATTTAGGGCTGAATTAGGTGCAAATAGTCTGACAGCTCAGCAAGGAGCATAACTTCAGCTGTAGTGTCTTCAGTCAGGGAACTGATTTCTGTGTGTTGTGGGTTTTGATCGTGTATCAACTCTTTTTCTTACAGTGGAACAAGAAGTTCCTATAGAGCCCCCTAGTGCAACTACAACAACTACAATTGGAATTTCTGCAACTTCAACTACTTTCACAAATGCCTTTGGGAAGAAGAGAGCTAATGTGGTGACGACCCCCAGCACAAATAGAAAAAATAAGAAAAATAAAACAAAAGAGACTCCTCAGAATATGCAGATAATTTTGCCAGATCAGCATATATCTCTAGCACAGCAAAAAGCAGATAAAAATAAAATAAATGGAGAGCCAAGAGGTGGTGGTGCAAGTGGGAATAGTGATTCAGATAACTTGGATAGCACAGATTGCAATAGCGAAAGTAGCAGTGGAGGTAAAAGCCAAGAGTTGAACTTCACAATGGATACGAATTCCTCTGAGCGGCGCTATGCCTCATTGCTTATCCCCTCTCAGGAAGAAAAAACGAGCACCTCAGCTTCAAAAACACCAACGAGGTGAGCCTGCAGTATTGCTTCCCTATTGTTTCACAGGGTTTTAACCTATGCCATTGTAAATTTTCTGTAGCTTAAGCTTTACACCAGCTGACACATTCCCAAAGTTTATTGAACGCAATTTCTTTAAAGACAAGATTTTTTTGGCATTGCTAGCTAGTTTTTAATATTACTTTAGCAAAACAGACAGTTTTCTCTGTCTGTTGTTTAAGCATCAGTGTTACATTGTCAGCTATATTAGAATAGATTTTAAAGTGAATGTGCTGGGAATTTAAAAAGGAAGTGCCAGTTTTGCTTGTAATCTAAGCCACAGAAGTGGTTTCATTACCTCAGTTTTTTTATGGTTTTGTCTTTTAACTCATTTGAATTACAATTTCTGTTTTAAGGAGGGAAGAAGTTGATGACTCTGAGCATTTTACCTGCCAGGTTGATGGCCAGTTTGATTTAACCTTGTCGAACCAGAGGTGAGAGTCACCGAGTTCTTTTGAATGTACAGGAGTCTTGGTTTGGAAGATGATTCAGTTGTCAGGGAATGAGCTAATAACACCAGTTTGTGGATAGGTCATTGGTCTGAATCAAAAAGCTTAGATCCCATCTGAATCTGTAGTCTTCACTTATTTTTACATAGAAGTAGTATGAGTCTGATCCTCCATAGGCTTCTTTTTTTCTATTCTTTTCCTGCATTAAGGGAGGGGAGATGGTATGGAGGTTGATCTGCAGGACATCTGGCTGACTGAAAATCCACGTTCAATAAGAAAGAACACAAACATTATGGGATCAAAAAGGGCAGCAAGTGGCTGTTGCCAGACTGATTGTGGCACTTGTCTGGGAGGGGGAAGAGAGTTAGGATTTTCTTTTTTTTCTTTTCCTTTTTTTCCCCAGATTAAAGTCAGGTGTAGAATGAGGGGATTTTTCAGCCCTTGTGGTTGGGGGGTGTCTGTTTTGGATTACCATTATACCATTAGGAATGTTAAAATGGGATTTTGCTTATGTTTTGTTTTATGAACATAAGTTGTTTCTGCCTCAGACCTTTTGCCTAAGATCTTCTACAAAAGCCTTGGAATCCTGTGCAGTTCACTACAGCAGGACTAACTAAATGCATACTTCTAAATCCTTGTTAGAAGTGCTGCTTCTGTTAGATAAAGTACACCTAAGAAACAAGACAGTGTGTAAATACCAAAATGAGGCTAGTGCATTTTATTAATTTCTGCATGTGCTCTTTGGCTCTTGCACTAGGCAGACTTTATCTGAAAATTATTTCTAAATTTGCTCTTCTTGAATTCCTCTTCTCTTTAGTCAGAGACATGCTGATGACAAGGCTACTGTAATTTAAACTTAAACTCAAGACTTCATAACAATGCTTTTCTGAAAATATGCCTAGGCATTTTCAGACAAAGAAGAATAAAAGCTTTCAAAGTCTACTCTGGAATCAGTATTCCACAATGGACTTTTTTCTTTTTTTTTTATACACATTTTCTCTTTGCCTCAATATTACAGTTATCTGAGGACAAGTAAAGTTCTCCACAGAACTTTCAAATGGCTTGGGCAGGTATATTATCAGAGAGCTAGAACTTACTAAGGTAGAGAGAGAAAATTCTGCCATTTGAAAAGGCATACTGCCTAAGCATTGCTTTTCATATAATCAGTACACTTGGCTTATTTAAATGTGAATACTGATACAAAGTTCAGAGATGTAGTATAAACAAGCAGTTTGCCTGCAGGAAGACACAATGAGTATTAAAAAATGATGTAAAGAATTGGGAATAAAAACTTGAATATAGTAAAGAGGAGGAATGATGTTTAGCAGGACAGGTGCAGCGTGAGGTCTTCTGTAAATTTTTCGGCTAGATCAAATCACATAAGGCTAGTTTTTCAGTGACTGCTGCCTGTGTTTCAGTGCTGCAGATGAACTTGTGAGCTCCTAGTGCTGTTTTTTTTCACTGCCACATAGGTCAGTTAGCCACTGCCTGTTCTGTCTCACTCACCCAGACTTTGCCTTGTTTGTATCACCAGGCTATTGCTACATCTCTATTAGTACAGGTAATGATAGTAGGGCACCTGCTTCCAAACTGATGTGTCTGGCACTTAAATACTTTAAAGTGCTCAAATATCTGTGCATCAGTTACTCATTCATAAAATTCGGGTGAGAAGTAGAAGCACTTTCCAGGGAGTCTTTGACAATAAGAGCTGAAAACCTGACATTTTCAAGTACTTAGTAAGAAAGAGTCATTATTACCAAAGAACCTTTTCTTAAAAAGCTATTCAAAAAGGAGAACACAATATAGCCACAGGATCAGGATGTGCCTAAGTGGCTGTGTATCACCTATTATAAACTATTTTAATCTGATGTCCTTAGTGTTTATGGTATTACTTCATTCAGTTTAGCACTCCACTTTTTGGAGGAGCAGTATAGGCTGTGGACTAAAAGCTAAAAAACTAACTATGAAGTCACCAAACAGTTGTTTCAGGTAGAAAATAAGACTGGAAACCGTTCATGCTAGTAGTTTTAAGCTGCAGGAATGTATACTGCAATGCTGTCACTTTATTCTGTAAGTTGTAATCAGTACATTTGTTTTCCTAGACTCGATGGTGAAGGTCATTCAAATTCTTTGTCAACTACTTATAAGCCTGTTTCCCTGCCTCTGACCTCTCCAAATGTAAAGCTGAATCTGACTAGCCCAAAAAGAGGCCAGAAAAGAGAAGAAGGCTGGAAAGAAGTGGTTAGAAGGTAAAGACTGTAATTAACTCTATGTTTAAAAACTATCTGGGAGCTTTTTAGCTTGTAAATTATTCCCAAATACAGAATGTCTAGTAAGCTTGTTTAATTGTATAATTAATTTATAAAAAATTACACACCCCTTATTCTTGCAGTGCTGTGAAAACAAATTGCAGTCCTGATTTGTAGTAACTCCTCACTAACCTCATTTCAGTATGACATGAACATTTTATTTGGCACAAGGATTTTTTTACCTGTGACTTCAGTGGAGTAAAGCATATGGGGATAAGATAAAGGGGGAGGGGGCAGATGGTAGTGAAAAGCCCCTGCAGCAGATGATTGTTTGCACATGAACTCAAGACAGTATGGATGTTAGTAAAGGAGGAGTGGATGATCTCTTCAAGGTTGAAATTCATTGTGCTTTGGGCAATGACCTTGATTGCTGCTTCCATGGAAAATTTTGTCACCTTAAAGTGAGTGCTAGAGATGCAATTAGATTTAAAGATTTTCTGTAGAGCAAACTTTCCCTTTGAAAATGTACTGGTTTTTATTACATGGCCATTAACATCCCAGGATCTTTTTTGTAACCTTTATGATGTCTACTACTTGTAACAAGAAATGATAATATGGTTTTCTTTCTTCCCTTTATCATAAAGGAATACAGCATGAACAGAAAAGTGTCAGATGCTTTAAGTGCACTTACGACACCCTCCTGATTTTGTGTTCTGCAAGGGTAGTGACCAAACATGCTTATTTTAGAGAACGTTAGACTATGTGCAAAGAACATAATTGTATGGAGGAATTAATGCATTCAGAGCCACAGACTCTTCTTAAGTAAAGTCAAAAAGTCATTTTAATCTGAAAATTTAAGCATTTGACCCCTTAGAATTGGTTTGATCTCTGCCTTTCGTTGCAAATGGGGTTCTCTGCTGTGACATGGCCTTGCTAAATGTATGGTTGCAGATTGCCCACCACTGGGTGAGTTGTGCAGGCATGAAACTGTTCAACAGGCAGCTGACTTTTCCAAGGCTGCACACAGACCCTGCCGTTGACCTGGGAGCTGCTCCATTGCTCCTTCTGAGTCTCTTGAGTCTTCTAGGCTCAACTCAACTGCTTGTCTGGGTATTGTCTACTCTTCTTTCTGCTCGAGAGATGGTAGGGTTCTAGAGATGGCATCCAAACCCCAACCTTTCCTCATCACTGAGGAATCAGGCCTTGTGTCATAAAAAATGTTTCTATAAAGTGTTCTGCACTGGTGTTTGCTATGCTCTGACTGCTTGAAGCATGTATCCTGCCAAAAAGCTTTTTGGTGACTTTAGATGCATATGCAAAATGCACGGGAGCTGCATGCCTTCCTCTCCCTAAGTCTCTCCCGGTCTCAACAAGAATTCTTCTATACCCCGTGGCTAGAAGGGATGTCTATCAAAGAAGTAACCGACGAAAACATTCCTTCTGCCCTTGACAGGCAAGTAGGCAGAGTTTTGAAAGACCCTCCCCCTAGCAACACTCTGCAGCCAACACCAATTGAGCAATTTCAGCTGCAGAGAGGAGGGCGCTGCTGTTCAGGAGCAAAAAGGTACTGTTTTGGGTGCTTCTCAAGGTAAAAACGATCAAGCTTGATGGGTAGGGTGGGGAAAAACAGTGGGTGATGGGTGGGTGGGGGCCTGGGCACTGGGGTGATGAGCTCTTCTGGGGGAGGAGTGTCTCCATGGGTGGTGGTGTGGGGTTCCTTGTGGGCTGAGGCAGAAGCAGACCAAGATACGGTGAAGAGCCCTGTGAGTAATGTGAACATATCTTGAAAATGAGATGAGGATAGAAGCTCTGGTTTGGGGAGGACTAGGGTGTCTAGTTTGAGAGAGGACCTGTGGGGGTGGAGAGGAGAAGAAAGCCCAAAGCATGAAAACCCTTGGGAGGATATTTGGGTGTGTGCTCAAGAGGACCTGGGTTCTGAGGATGGGGAGGTTTGGAGCATGCTCTCCTGGCAGAAGAGGGAAAGAATAAACACTTTAGCGAGATGAGGTGATGCTTTAGAACATTTCCGTGTACTCAGATGTGTTTGAAGTAAAATGGGTTTCCTTTAAGTGCTATGAAGTGAGAAACAAATTTCCTGAGGATCAAGTTACTTAAAAGTTTCCAAGACTGGAATAGCCAGATGAAGCTGGCAGCCTCTTCAGGGGGTGGTGGGGATCTGTACAGTGTTCAGAGGCGCCCTGCACTGTAATCACAGTGGCTTCTGAAACTGCTTAGAATCCCCTCTACTTGTTCAGTGGTGAGTTTGAAAGTGGTATATGGGCTTGAGAGGTCCAGCCTTTGAAGTCTGGGAACAGTGGTGGTCCGGAGAGACCTTGGCTAGGGTGTGGATGCAAGCGTAGCTCATGCTCAGAGACTTAGCACTACTGTATGTCTGCACTGACCCCCTAATACCACGTGAATTGGAGAAGTCCTAAATTACCTTATTTTGCCAAACACATGGGTTACAGTGTTGTGGCCTGACAGCGAGCCTGTTTCTGAAAATCTGTGCTGCCTTCACAGTGGTTTCCAGCAGCTTCTTAAATGACAGAATTGTCCTACAATTTAACTGTCTGCTGTCCACCGTGGTGTAGTGTCACCAATAAACTTTCAGATCTCGAGGTCTGAGAGAGGTGGATGCCAAAAGAGTTGTGAATGTAAGTGGTATTGCAGAACTGATCACTGGGAAGACATTGGGAAACCACCTTATCCTTGCTATATATCCTTGCTATAAATGATCAAAGTAGCTAAGCCATGGGCTTTTATATTTGAAGCAGTGCTGTTTATGTAAATTTAGGTTGATAAGCTAGGGATTTGTCTCACTTTGAAGGTACACAAGATAAGGTAAAATCCAAAAGTGTTTCTGAAGCAGTGTGAGGCACATACATCTGTTTTACAACAGTGGTGGAATAAATGCTTCTGGAGAATCCTCATCCGGTACTGAGGATGATGAGTAATTTGAGTGGGGGAGCTTTAGAGAGTCTCCAGAGGGTGGAGAAAATATTAGCAGAAAACCACTTGCTGCCCTGAAACTTGATAATATTGCTTCAGCCACCTGTCAGCAAGGGATTTTTTTGTATGCCTTTGCAAGTTTGAATACATTTCACAAATTTGTGGTCTTTGTGATATAGGTCAAAGAAATTATCTGTCCCAGCTTCTGTCGTATCTAGAATAATGGGAAGAGGTGGGTGCAACATCACAGCAATTCAAGATGTCACTGGTGCCCATATTGATGTTGATAAGCAAAAAGATAAGAATGGAGAGAGAATGATCACTATAAGGTACGGTATCTAGAAATGAAAGTCTTAATAAGTGACATTATGGACTAACGCAAGAAGTTTGTTTGCTTTTAAGACAGGACATATTTAGCTTCTTGGTACTAGAATAGAACATGTATTACTGCTGCCAAGATAAAGCTGAACATCATCTTCAGCTGAACATCTTCAAAGATAATCCTTAAGATACGCAAGTCAAGTAGTAACTTACTGGAGTAAACACGCAGTAGACTTGCAGATCAGTATAAAATTTAGGCTACAGAATGTTGCACAAAGTGAGGTTTCCTTTTTCAAAAGTTAAATGTGTGTTATTTAATCTAGGGGTGGTACAGAGTCAACACGATACGCAGTGCAACTCATCAATGCCCTTATTCAAGATCCTGCCAAGGAACTGGAAGACTTGATTCCTAAAACTCATATAAGAACACCCGCTTCAAGTACCAAATCAATCCATGCAAACTTCTCATCTGGAGTCAGCACTGCGACTGCTTCAAACAAGAACTCCTTTCCTCTCGGAGCACCACCCCTGGTCACATCACAGTCATCAACATTATCTACTTTCCAGCCTACTAACAAATTAAACAAGAATGTCCCAGCAAATGTGCGGTCATCTTTTCCGGTGTCTCTTCCTCTAGCTTATTCTCACCCTCATTTTGCCTTGCTGGCTGCCCAAACTATGCAACAGATCCGTCACCCTCGCTTACCTATGGCCCAGTTTGGAGGAACTTTTTCACCCTCACCGAACACTTGGGGACCATTCCCAGTGAGACCAGTTAACCCTGGCAGCACAAACAGCTCTCCAAAGCATAATAGTTCAAGTCGTGTAGGTAGTCAGAATGGAAATATTTTACAGACAGAGTCTCCTGGATTAGCTACTTCTAGTTGTCCCATTACTGTCTCTTCTGTAGCTGCTTCCACTCAACCGCTGTGTGTAACCAGTAATCGGACTCCCTCTTCAGTCAGAAAGCAGTTGTTTGCCTGCGTTCCCAAGACGAGTGCTGCAGCAACAGCAATCTCAACGGTGACAAGCACCTGTAGCACGCTTCCTTCAGCTTCCTCTGCCCCCACAAACAATGGGCAAGTGCCCACAGCATTTCTGCCATCTAATGCTCCACAAACACAGCATTCTGCACTTAAAGCGGACTCTTTCTCAGTTGTCTCAGCACCCAAAGAGAAGGTGTCAACACCAGACCAGCCCACTGCAAATGCATGTGCGCCATCTTCAGTTCCAAGTAGTTGCAGTATGTCAGCTAGCAGCAACTCAGGAGTCACCGAAACTCGCCCATCGAGCAGTCCTGCACCGCTAAATAGTGTCCAAGATGAAATACTGCCAACCAGCATGTCAGAGATAAATCCTTCCATGTCGATGCCTTTTTCATCCAGCTCAGAAACTGCTCCTTTAAGCTTAGCGTCACCCAGGTCAGTTGTTGCAGATAATCAGGACAACAGTAACTTACCTCAAGTAGCTGTACCAGCACCTCGAGTTGCTCACAGGATGCAGTCCAGAGGTTCTTTCTATTCAGTGGTACCAAATGCAAACCTCCATCAAGATCCTCAGTCTATTTTTGTTACAAATCAAGTTCCTTTAACACCTTCTCAAGGTCCACCTGCTGCAGTGCAGCTTTCGTCAGCCATGAACGTTATGAACGGTTCTCAGATGCACATTAACCCAGCAAACAAATCATTGCCTCCTACCTTCGGGCCAGCAACACTCTTCAGTCACTTTAGTAGTCTTTTTGATAGCAACCAGGTGCCAGCTAACCAAGGATGGGGAGACTGTCCCCTCTCTACCCGAGCAGCAGCTGACCCATCTTTCACAGTTCAGTCTACCTTTCTGAATAACTCTGTGCTAGGACACGTGGAAAACGTGCATCCTGACAACTCCAAGGCTCCTGGTTTCAGGCCACCTTCCCAGCGGGTTTCGACTAGTCCTGTAGGTAAGTCATTAGGATCATGCACTGGACAGAATTCTTTCTTTAATCATTACACTTCGATCATCTCAAACTGATTGAGAATTAGTTTACAAATTACACTTAGAGAATACTGATGTAACAAGGATGTCCTGCTTTTTCCAAGTGCTCTTTAAAATGTTGATGACCATTTTTTTCCTCCTTTCTTCAGCTTTTCTGGAATGTTAGGTGTTGGAAACATTGCAGGTGTTGCATTGCTTGTTCTCTAAGACATGGGAATGCTTCCACCTGTTTGTATAGATCAGAATAGCATTGATTTTTAGATTTTGGGTTGGAATACAACATAGAGGTGGGTGATACCAAACCTGAAACAGCAGGTCCAGGACTCTTGACAGGTTTCAGCTGAGGGAGTGACTGTGTGCAGATGTTCAGTATTTTATCTGAGACTCTAGCACAACTCAGGGTAAACTCTGTACTTTTTGCCTCTTGATATGGCTCTAGGATTTTAATAAGATTATGTTGTGCTTTGTGTAACTGGTGTGCTACGGCATGGTGTGTTCTATTAGGAAATTACTGTCCTTCTGCTGTGAAGTTCAAGCTTATCTGTATTTATTTGCAATGGGTTAGGAACACTCAGAGTGAGCTCCCTGCCCTTGCTGTGCTCTGTCTAAAGGATTAATATCATCTTCATGTTCAAACTACGTTGCAGGCAACTGGATGCACCCGTTTGGCTGGAAAAAACCCTCAAGGGATCTAGTTTGTGCCACCCTGTTCTCCCCTTCATTCTTGACATAATGGCTTTATGGTGCCTGGTAGCTGGGTAGCTAGAGAGCCTTGCTTTGAAGTTGCCTTTGCCCCTGCAGTGTACGTTAGATATTTGGGCTAACACTTTAGGACTTGAATGATGGATTGTGACAAATCAAGTAGTTTGATTTGCAGACTAAAGGAGAAGGGGGCATTTGGAAGGTGTGGTGGTGAAGAAAGAAGCTTTTCAGCATTCCCATTTCTCGCAGTTGATTTACACATGTGCAGGCCTTCTGAAAACCAGAACACTTTTCTCTGACTAGCTTTAACCACAAAACTGGGATGTTTACTGTGACTGTCATTTTCTGAGCACCTGAACACCTAGAGCTCTTATGCTATGTCCAGTCGCAGTGCAGCAAGCAGAGCCAGAGGTACCTAAGGCTGTGGAAGGTAAAGTAACTAGACTCCAGAAACACTTTACTGGTGGCTCAGCTTTTTCTCTGCAGTGCTCTAAACTGGGAGTTGGCTGTTGCTGGAATGATAATGGAATCTGCTGATTTTTCTAATGGTTGCATCCTGTATATACAAAGACAGTTGACTGGGACTTCCCATAGCAGCAAAAAATTTTGCTGTTCCCTTATGTTAAGATTATCTGTTTGTCATTGGGAAGAATTTCTTGATCCTTTACCTATCTTTAAATGATTGTACGTATTTAAAAGGTAGTCTAAATCTGTTTCTTCCTTGAATTAGGAAGGTTAGGTAGAGCTCACATGGTTGACTTCAGGGAGATGTGTCTCAACTGATGCACAAAAATACTTGGACAGAACACATTTTTTTTCTGAGCTAGAATTTGATTAGGATGTCGCAGAGTGAAGAAAAACTGCAAATAGGTAGATGTGTCTCTAAAATTCTGCCTTGCAGGAGGTGACTGGTTAGTCAGGTCCTTAGTTGATTCATTTAATATCATTCTACTTAATACTGGTTTTGATCACCTTAGTTCCAGAATTTAAATTGCCTTTCATACAGGAAAGCAGGGGGGCTAAGGGAGACTGCTGAGAAGGAGTTGTTTTGAAGGTACTGTAGTGAGGAAGGGAGCAGGGACGATAGGCTGAGGAGCTCTCTTGGAGTGTGTGTGGTCTTGTGGTCTGTCCACCCATCTCATTCACTGGTTCTTCCCAAGGGACCAGACCTATCTGCTCAGTCCAGCTTCCGAGGTGGGTTGAACTGGGGTACTACCCTGGCTGTTTCCTTAGAGTTTGTTGGCAAGTTTCATGAGATTTGAGAAGAGGGAAAAGGGTCAGTCACTTCTGTCTTAGACTTCGGCCAACAGCAGTGTGATGGACAAGGAGCAGTCTGGGTCTTGTCTGGAAATTCAGTACACTTTTGTGTGGTGAGAGGGAGTAGTAATGGCCATCAAAGCAGGTGGACACCAATTTTCTAATCTCAGCTGTGGCTCTGCACTGATAGAGCAGAGGTTTGTCTTTTGTGCCTGTCTTGCACAGTTGGGCTGTGGCAAGTTTTTCCACAAATCAGCATCTCCTGGTGATCACCTCTAAGCTGATTTGGTGGAAATTTAATAGAATTTGACTGTGCACTAAATCAGCTTTTTCTTTAACAAGTTGTCACCTCAGGGTGGAGTTTGGGTACTCTGCTTTTCCTATCCATGGGTAAGCTCAACTGCAGCTTGAGTTTTCTCTGGCTTACCAGTTCCTTTGAGGCACAGATACACATGCGGATCTCCTCACCAGCTGTGGATATGTTTTAGAAGCGGCCTTTTTCTTAATTATGTCTTTAGATCTCTTGTCCTAACAGCTTGCATATTGACGGCGGACCTAGCCCAACCACTTGGGGCAACAGTGGAGAAGTCTATTTGTTAGATAAAATGCCCCTGTATTTTAAGAAGGGGTTTGAGACCTTGCTCATGTGGCATTATTGAAGTATGCCAGCTTAGGAAGCAGCACATGAATATGGAGTCACATGAAATAGCTGGGCTCCCTGTTTTGCATGGAGTGACCAAGTGTTGTGTCTGTTTCTCTAAAGGTAGGGGTAGCCCTTGCAGTAACCAGTTTCTGCAGAAGTGCCAGGAGCCTTTGATAAACTGAATTTTGAGCAGAGTTTGTGTGAGTTTCTTATGCTAGTCTCAAAAGCTCAGATATGCTTTCAGACTATGACAAAGATTTTGAGTTTATGGCCCAAGTAACTGCAGAGTATGGTATTGCAAAAAGGTTTAGTATTGCAAAACCTGAATTTCTTGGTAAGTACATAAATAGGAAGCTCATTTTTGAAATCAGGATTCTGTAAGTCATTGTTCATAGAAGACATTTTTAACATTGAGCAAAGGTTTTTCTCATCCACTTTTATGAAAGGCAAGATAATGATAAAGTGTTCTTTACAATTTGAAAACTGACTACTCTGTTGAATTTGTGCATTTCTGGATGTCACACTTCCTTCAGCCTGTAGAAAATACACAGCAGTGCTAAGTCATCTTGGCTGTACAGTCTCTGCACTTTGAAAGCTGTGTACCCATCCTACCAAACCTTCAAAAGACACAGCTGGGCATCTCTCTTTTGCAGAAGAGCTCTTTTTATCATAATCCTTGCCTTGTTATCTGTTTAGGAAGCCTGCAGTCCCCATGAGCAGCAGCAGCACTGTAATCCCTCTGTTACCCCTATGGGGCAGAGATTCAGGATCTTAGGTGATTTGTTAGCTAGCTGGAAACTTGGTTTTGATATGTGGTAGAATTGGTCGCCATAAGGGCCTTTTAACTACCTCTGAGCTGAATTTTTTGAATGGAGGGTTAGCGAGAGTCTCCCATCAGTAGCTCTATGGCAGATGCACAGGAGGGCCCTCAGCCGGAGGTGCTGCAGTCTGCATACAGCTGGGCTCCATGCTGGGGTCAGTCTGCAGCTCTGGACAAACGCAGATCAGTCAAACTATGTTGACAGGCAGCCTGCACAGGCATTAGCATCTTCCTCATAGCCATGGAGTTTTGCACATTGTGTTGTGACAGACCTTGAAAGATTGTCCTCCCACACTCAGGTTCCCTTGTCTGAGCACCCCATGTTCTGGTGGTGATTTACTTCTCCTTGTCTGTACTTCTGTACTGGGGGCTTTTTTTTTAACCTTTGGGGTAGGTCTAGGGAGAAAAATACCTCCTTCAAATCCAGTGAGTCATTTCCGTCAATGGGAGCAGGTTGGATCTGGCACCCCTGGAAGCAGTAAATCAGGTCAACTTGGTTGATAATACTGGGGGAAAAAGACCTGGCTTTCAGGAATGTATCCAAGTGATGAAAGGTGCACCTCTAGTCTATGACCTCAGGTGTTGTCTGTCACCACTGCTGTTTGCAGACTGCTGCGGTGTAAGTAGGTACAACCTTGCTCTGCAGCAATATAGGCTGGTCCTGGTTGTGGTCATTTTGAAATGTTTAAATTGTTTTGAAACTAGTCTTGTTTAATAGGCCCTTGAAACTAAACCCAGAACTCAGGTAAACATACAGCCATGCCCGTTTCTGCTTTCAGGTAATAACATGTGATAAGAGCTTTTACATTTTGGAAAAGTACTTAAAAGCTTTGGCTTATTAAAAAACTGTAATTCCCCCTTGCTAATAATTATTGTGGGACTTTGAACTTTCTCTCCATCTCTGCCTTCCTCTCACGCACCCTTATAGGAAGCAGCCCTCTCACCTGTTTTGCTGTGCATCATCAGCCCCTGTTTCTCTGGACACAGCATGGTCTGACCGATCTATATGTGAATGTACCTATAGGATGGCAAAAACCATACTGCAGTGAACTACTTCCCTGGTGCTGGATTCCCCTGGGACTTTCAGAGCCCTGTATCCCTGTTTGACTTCTGTGGCTTTTTTTTGTAAGCAGAGATACTTGCCACTCACAGCTTTCCTCCTTTGCCTTCCCTGCTAAGATCTTTTCCTTTCAGTGACAAAGGGATGGCTGTTTTTGTTAAAACTTCAGGCCAAAACAGTATACAGAAATGCCTTCTGTTGGTTTCTAAGGGAGAATCGTGCACCTGTAAAATGAACTTACCATGTGCAGATACCCCTGAAGGTGATGAGATGCTGTAATTATATTTGGAGCACTGGCTGTCTCTGGTGCTTTGAAGCAGGTTCCCAAAGAGAGATATTTAATCAAATTTATGTTTATTTCAGGCTTACCCTCTCTAGATCCATCCAACAGCTCTACAACTTCTTCTTCAGGTCCTTTGACAGGCTTTTCAGCAAACATACAAGGAGCACGGGTTTACCTTCAAGGGCCAGCGCCTGTTGGGACTCCCAGCTTTAACAGACAGCATTTTTCACCACATCCTTGGACAAGCGCAACAAATTCATGTAGGAACTTCATGGGTCTGTCTTAGTTAACTATAAATTCATAGCTATTGTCTTTAGTAGATTTGTAACTTGAGGGGAAATTACCCAGTGATGCACAAAATGCTTTCCAATTGCTTTTAGCAGCTCTGAGGATGGTGTGCAAATCCCAAGCTGTACTATTGTGTTTTTTCCCATGTAAAATGCCACTAGTTATGGTAGCATTACTAAAGGTATACTTGGGCAAAAAAATCAGTCATTGTAGGCTCTGAGAGGAAAGGTCATGAAGCTGTGGGGGCGTGGAAGTGATTATACCAATCTAAAGATTCCCCTCTAAATAGTATGAGTGTAATATTAGGTGAAAATGCCATGTTTGCCACTGTTTGAAGTTACACTTTTTTTTGTTTTTTTTAAATGGGATTCTGGAATTATTTCATGTTACTTAAAATGTTCCAGAATCTCTAAGTGTCATCCAAGGTAATAGCAGGGTTTCCTCCTAATGGGAAGAACATGGAAGTAGCTTACAGAAAATACGGGTCTCTGATTCAGAATCTTAAGTGAAGAGGCTTTTCATGTCACTGCATGCAACTTCATTGCCACTCGGAGCTTAAGAACCAAAACATTTAAATGAGTGCTCAAAGGAAGTTGGATTTCACAAGAAGAGTCAGTGACTGAAGTTGGTGGGACTTTTACACTCTTAGGTTACACATGTGGCTTTGGGAAGCTGTCTGATTTCTCTTCTGCTGGAAGTGGTGGATACCAAAACTAGGCTGTTTAGATATTTATGGTATTTTGGCTGATGTTTTCACCTCTTCCTGAAACACTTCCATGTTTCTTATTCTTTCTTGTAATTAATTTAGATGTACTGCTATGTCATGAGAATATCACATGATTCTGATGGCTGAAAGCATTTGTGTTTATAATGTTGATTTTAGAGTTAAAATTAAACAGAATTTCTGTGATAGACTTGAAGAATGCTTGCCAAAAAAGCTTTTAAACCTTTTTATCATTTGCTTTGAGATAATACTGGGGGGATAGAGTGGGTAGCATTTATGCTCGCCAGCTTGTGTGCTTTGCATGTAATTAAGCAAGAGAAATACTCTTTTCAGCAGGTGAATCTCCTATTCCATCAGTTTCCTCAGGATCATCTTCACCCCTTTCAGCTGCTTCTGCACCTTCTAACTTGGGCCAGCCAAAAACGGGTAATGCCAATCAAGATCGAAAGGTCCCCCCTCCCATTGGGACAGAAAGGCTCGCTAGAATTCGACAGGGAGGATCTGTCACTCCAACACCCTTAGGAACCAACTTCACAGCTCCTGTTGGACATAGCGGTATTTGGTCCTTTGGAGTTAACAGTGTGTCTGGTAAGTTTGGTGGACAGCTTGGGGTAGCCTAAAGAAACTTCTAGGGCCTTTCAGAAGTACTGCATCTGAAAAGAAAGCTGGGGAGGAGGAATAAGGTTCCACAGTCTGTAATCGACTTCCTTGGAGTACATCCTGAATGGAAAAGCATCAGTGGTGGGAGAGTGCACATCAGTGAAAGCGCTGCAGTTTTCCCTCCTAACGTGGTTCTCGCCCAGCCTAGATTATCTGTCAGCTTACACTTGTAAACCCTGAGAACGGTTAAGAAATTTCATATTAAGTCTATTGAATGATACAGAATTTAAAAAGCAAACAGCTTTGATCTGTTAAGTGGCTCCATTTCCAAGTATGGCCTAAAAGGACAACTGCCTCTGTCCAAGTTTCTACCTTTCCATTAATATTTTAAAGTGTTAGTTGTGATGCAGCTAATGCATCCAGAAACACATAGTTGTGGATGCTGCTTTTTTGCACTGATCTCTTCATGTGTGGGGTAACTTCTGTTCCAGGCAGCCTCAGTTTCAAAAGAATGACTTTGAAACAGCTGAAGTGTTACATTGTTTCCTGATAGTTTATGTTCTTGTGGAAAGGAAGAGCTGCAGAATTTGAAGTTTAGTGTTTCCACTGGTAACTTCTAAGACAAATGTTTAATATCCTGTATTTGTTATATTTTTCAGTGAAGCCCTCCCTACTTTGGTTAACATAGTGTCTCAGCATTGCTGTGCTTTTCCAAGAAAACCTTGTATGTGCTCACATGAGCTGGAGGGAAAGTGTGTGTGTGTAGCCAGCCTTATACAGTGTTGCCTGCTGCAGCTTCCCTCTGAGAGACTTTGATGCTACAGATAAGACTTGTCTGTTAATGGGTTATCAGCCTAAAAACTGCAGGTATCGTCCTGCTTTACTGTGCAGTGTCTGCCTTTGCTCAGAGCAGGGCCCTAAGATGCCTCTGTGGCTGTTTTCGGGGAGCCTTTAGATGTGTGCAGCAGCTGAATTCTACTCCAGACTATCTTCAGTGAATGGTAATCAGCCATTTTCAATCTCCTTTCCAGAAGGATTGTCAGGCTGGTCTCAGCCTGTCATGGGAAATCATCCAATGCATCAGCAGCTGTCAGATCCAGGCACGTTTTCTCAGCATCAGCCTATGGAGAGAGATGATTCTGGAATAGTGGCTCCCTCAAATATTTTCCACCAACCTATGCCAAATAGTTTTGTGGATTTTTCTAAAGTAAGTTACAGAGAGTTGGATTTAATCTATAAAATGATCAAGGGCTTACTTTGTTGTATCTCCTGTTCTGCCTGTTTACGCTGTATGCCTGTGCCTCTTCTACCACTGCTTGCTGCACCTCCTTTCATCCCAGTACTGACTAGAAGAGGTGCCGAAGCCTGGTGGTGAATTTGTGGATTGCAGATGTTCTCCATCGCTTGCCCGTGTTTCCTCTCTCAGAGGCTCAGTCCCCCGGAAATGTTTCATAAGGCTTGCTTGGCTCTTGGGGCTGATTGAAGATTTGCTTGATGCTTTCATCACAAATCGTGCCTGTGAATACTACGTGCCTTTCTTAAGGAAGTGGTGGGAGGAGAGGACCACTTCTAAGTCTGTGCCTTGTATGTTAACACTGGAAAGTAGCTTGAGGCAGATGGACGTAGCTAAGCCATAGTCAGCTCAGCCACCACTGGAGGAACATCCAGGATGATGTACTCAACAGCAGATTTGCTCACAATGTGTTTCGAAAGTAGCTGTAGCAGGTGCTCTTGGGATCTTGTAAATTGCAGAGCAGCAATCATTCAAACACAGGCAGGAGATTTCATAATTGCAGAAAGCTGCTCTGTTACTTGCTCTCCCTGAACTGGAAGAATATTTTAGGTGGCCATTAGTAATTTATAGAAAATCTTCAACTTGGAGTCTTGCAGGCTCAAGCTGTATGTGGCCTTTGCTGAAGTGCAGCCCCTGACTGCAGCCCTGCGTGCACCAAAGTTGTCACGTGCTGCAGAGGTAAGAGGGAGCACTGAGATCACTTGCACAGCTGCTGTGTCTGGCTTCATGGGGTCATCTGACAGCACTGTGCAGAGGCTGCTACATATCGGTGAGGCGTAATTTCAGAAAAATGGGTAAACTGACCTGAATCTCAAGCTCTGCAGAGTCACCATATTCCATACTCTGCCTAGGTGTGCAGCAGTGCCCCATTTCCTCACACTGCTGAGATACTTGGCAGTAGGATGTGAATTGCTTCTGTCATCTTGGCAAACGTGGTACTACAGTCATTCTTCACAGCCACTGCTGCCTTCACTAATGGTGCTTTCTCTTGTTCCTCAGGGCCTACCGATTTCCATGTATGGCGGCACTCTAATACCCTCGCATCCTCAGCTAGCGGATGGCCCAGGAGGCCCCCTCTTTAACGGGCTCCATACTCCAGATCCTGCCTGGAATCCCATGATCAAAGTTGTCCAGAACTCAACAGAATGTACTGATGCTCAGCAGGTAGTGTGGCTGCCTTTTCACACCTTTGCTTACGTGGGGCTTCTTACAGTGTTGTGCTTTGTTTTCTTTTTCTTCATTCTTTGATAGGTGACTTTTTTTCTCCCAGTTCTTTGACACTGGAATTGAGATTGTCTGTTTGCATGACTTTTCCTTTACAGTGTGTCTGTGTTTATAAGAAATGTACAGCACTACCTGTACCAAAGCTTTCAGGTAAAATAAGCAGTATTCCAAGACCACTGAGCCAGGTAAATCAACATTGTTATAAGCGAGAGGGTTTATGTCCATACTCATCATCTTGCAGGTTGTCACTTAAACCTTGGCCCGGTGCTGAAGAGGGCTCCCAGCCTTTGGACTATCTGGTTGTATTTTGGGGAAGCCTTAAGATTGCCCTCTAGTGGTTAAACGCTCTGTTAAAGGAACCTTTATTTGTTTTTATAATAGACTTGTCTTTTTATTTCTTGCTGTAGATTTGGCCTGGCACCTGGGCACCTCACATTGGAAACATGCATCTCAAGTACGTCAACTGATTTAAGGGGGTCTATCCTTTTTTAGCCTTGTTTGGGAATCTTTATGACCTTGAGAAACCCTGGGGATTTTTTTAATGTGCCTAACTAAGCAATTTTCTGTGGGCTATAGCAATGGAAGAAACTTGATTGCCCATTGTGTAAGAACAAAATGATTTACCTATACAAACTAATTCTGTTCTCTGGTTAGTTTAGCCATTTTGAACTTAAAAATCAGATGGAACTAGTGCTTTTGGCTGAACACTACTGAATGCTCCTTGTATGCAGCAGAGAACTAGCTGATTACATGGTATCAACCTTTTAGGGTGGTAAATACATGTATAATTGTTTACATACTTAAAAGGAACAGCTGAGTAAATTTCATGTGGTATAGTGGCTCTACTTTATGTAGCCTGTATTAATGTGAAATATTTACCTGAATATTCAATAAAAGGCAAACAGTATTTATAGGTTGTGTGTGAAAATTTTGGAAGAAGTTGTATGTCCTTGTCATCGGTAGCTGCTGCCATGCCCAGAGGTGCATCTCTTCAGGGTCATGTAATTAGCATGTGGATGCAGTCAGGCTTTGGGGGAGGGTTTTGATCCGCAGTCATCTGCAGTACTAGGTCTGCTGAATCCTTCTTTCCCCCTGCCAGTTCTTAGCCTTTCATTTTCTTTGTGAACATGGTTGTGCTTTTTTTTTTTTCCTTCTGAATTAGTTCTGCTGCTTCTAGCACACTTTTTCCAGGTGGGTTGCCTGAGAGATCAGGTTTTGCTCAGAGGTTGGAAATAAGGGCTGAGTTGGCAGTGTGACAACTGGTGGTATTTCAATTTGCAGAAGGTAAATAGGTAGCTCAGAGGTAAATGCAGGGGTTCTTCACCTGTCTTGCTGTGATCAGCTGCCTAGAAGCAGATCTTAGGAAAGCAGACACCACTTTCCACTAGAGCGAAACGTAATATATTCAACTCTAAGCTTCTTGTAACCCTTTAAATCTGGTAAGAGCTCAAGTCCTTTCTGTGAGGAAGAAGGGGGTTTTTGCATACATTCTCCACCCAGGTGCAGAAGTTCTCCACTTTCTGTACTTGGACTATACTTATTTCTGCTTTTGCTCAGTGGTGATGCAGTGACTGAATGTTTGGTCCATTCCTCAGGCAGGTAATGACAGTGCAGATAGTGTCGAGTCTAATGGACCACTCTGTGGGGTCTCGGACTAGATGGAGATTTCTCCACCTTCCTCCACCTTCTCCAGCCAAATCCATATATGCAGCAGCAGAGTTTCCCCATGAAAAGCATGAGGAAGGAGTACTGAAAACCCAAAGTGCTCAAGTAATATCCAAGTACTGCAGGCAAATCCAAAAAATGCTACTGGATGATATATTCAGATATTTTTCCTAGTATTTGAGGAAGAAATGTAAAAAACATTGAACTGCTGCTGACCCCCTGATAGTGCAAACACCAAAGGAGAAATGCTTATGGTAACAGTAATTGTATTGAAAACAAATGGTGGCGTAGTGCTGTAGGTGTTTGCTCTTCTGGGGAGTTGCGGGGAGGGGGAGGGGGGGGG